TAATGGAAGTGTAGATTATTCATTCAAAAAAGGCTAAATAAAAATGGTGATGGTGATGTTAATGCAGAAAGATCCCTTTCAGAAATAAAAAACATGTCCTATATCTGAATGTGTGCCTTTTTTCTCGACGCACCATCCCCCAAACGGATTAATTGAACCTATCAAGATTTAACTTCAGCAGAGCACACTATAGTTTGTCATTCAAAAGGTATTTGGAAGTGCTATAAATGACCTTGATAATTGACACCATCTATAGTAGAACTGCCAAGAACTCACATTCGTAGTGTTATTCCGAAGGGCATGGCACTAGCATTACTCAATTTTGAATTTTGTAAGTGTAACCCACTTTGGTATTTCATTTGATATGTGAAAATTTATGGCACTTTTTTCCAAAGGAATAATAAAGTCTGAAAACTTAGTATGTGTGACACGTGGAAGTACAGAGCAAAACTATAAGCACGTAGGAAATGGACAGATATTTCATCATACATGCTCACCTTAGAAATCTCAAAAACCCAACACCTCCTTCAAACAGTGCATCTGACAGTGGGTGTGTTGTACTTCTATGTTCTCAGGCTTTACTACTAATCCATGTGCAAATGGGCAGGCATGAGGAGCGAGGGAGACTGCGCAGTAGTCAGGCTCTCTTCCCTTCTGCGCTGTCTGATGAAGTGTGCTTTTCAAGCAACTGTGCCTCTCGTGGCCGGGAGTCAGGTTTGGGACTCTGGCTGATATTAGCAGCTCCGTTGTTTCAGAAAGTAGGGAGCTGGTCAGTTGTCGGACAGTTTCTTTAGGGATCTTGCAGCAGGATTTCTCACAATCCTTTGTGTGGCTTTGGGATTTCCTGATGTTGCACGTTTGTAGGGAATGTCATTTTTACCACCATACTGTGGGGCTGTTTCTTCTCAAATGTTTATGCTATCCTGCTGCAATGGGATCCCTTTTTCCTGTGTTATGGTCATAATACACTTGCATCACTTGTGTCAGGTTCTTAATTCTGTCCTGCCTTCTGAAAAAGCACTCCATATACCTCTGGAGCTCTAGGAATAGTAATAAAAAGAACCCTAGTCCTCCTTCTCTTGGTCTCTTTTCCCTTGTTTCTTCATTCATCTAGTACTTTATTAAAATCCACTCCTCTTTATTGGCAGATAAGAGCTGTGGGGAAGAGGGAGTCCCCTCCTCTAAGTTACAAACACCCAGGTAGGACAGAATCTATTTCTCAAATCCAGGAGCTGTGCAGGAGGATGTTGGAACTGGCCGTATCAAATGAAGAGGATCAAGATGTCTTGCATTTGGGGTTGCTTTTATAGCCTTCTCTGAATTTGTCAATATATATCCAAAACAAGTCCATTGTAAATAGAATTTCCCTGTGTAGAACGTCACCAAATAAAGGAGATTTGGATTGTTAAACAGGCTATTTAATTCTGCTTGTTTTCAATTTTCTGTATAAATGATCCTATTCATTGCTCATGGATCAAGTCAAATGTGATACTTGTTTTGTTCTAGATGTTTGTGGCAAAGCACTGGCTAACTCTTGTCTATGTCTGAGTTTCTTCACTCTGTTGGAAGAGGTTTTCTCTGGTGTGTCAAAGCTTATTGAAGTTCTTGACATTAACTACTATATTAAATATAAAATATTGCATCCTAAAGTTGTCTCACTCTCGTTTATGTGGCTGTTTTCTTTTGTCTGGGAATTTTACAGACATGTTGTAAGGCAGCTGCAGTTGGAAACCTGCTGCTGGATCTTGGAAGCCAGCTGAAGTATCATTCTTTGTATGTGCTTTCAAACTACTATTTGGCTAAAGACAGCGTAGTGATTCTTCAAGTCTGATATGTGCTGATGAGGAACTGTTTTAACTGAGGTGGTTTATTTAATCAGTCTTGTTAAACTGTTTTGACCATTCAAGCTGGTCTGACATATCTGTGCAGAGCCAGGTCTCATTGCGATCCTACTCAAAGGCAGTTTGTAGGCTATTTTCTTTTAAGACTGATGTTTTGGCCACAGACAAAGGGATCTATTTCTGTCCTCTGAGGTTTTGTGGATTTGTTATAAATGGTAGGCCTTCCAGTATCTAAAGGGGGCCTACAGGAAAGCTGGGGAAGGACTTGTTACTAGGGCATGTAGTGTTAGGACAAGGGGGGAATGGCTTCAAACTGGAAGAAGGTAGGTTTGGATTAGGCATTAGGAAGAAATTTTTCACTCTGAAGGTGGTGACGCACTGGAACAGGTTGCCCAGAGAAGCTGTGGATGCCCCATCCCTGAAGGTGTTCAGCGTGAGGCTGGATGGGGCTTTGAGCAACCTGGTCTGGTGGGAGGTGTCCCTGCCATAGGCAGCGGGGTTGGAACTAGGTGGTTTTTAAGGTCCCTTCGAACCTAAACCATTCTATGAATAGCAATAGCTGGGTACTTTACATTAGCAAAAGTAAGCTCTCAAATGTGACAAGGGTTCTAAAGTAGAATAGTGTATTGCCCAGTGGAGGGAACACATAACCAAGCACTTTAATCTGTATTTTCACCTTGTAATCTGTATTTTCACCTTGCTTTTGTGGTTGGCTTTGGGGGGACTAGGGTACCTATACCCACCTGAATGATCAGATTGGGCTCTGGGCATACTAATGCCTTGCTGGCTGCATGTGCTCACTGCCACCTAAAATGGTATTGTGGTTTTTTTCAGTATTAAGGAGGGCATGATTTAGACTGACAGTCTTGGGGTAAAAACACTCAGCAAAATAGGATCAATGTGACTATACGCATTTCCTACAAAAGGGAAGGCCCTGCCCCCCAGTCCCCAGCTTCATAGGTCAGACCAAGTCATGCACTTCGTAACAGTCCATTCCTACTCAGATGCAAACCAGGAGTGGATACAGTTGGCAATATGTGGTTCAAATAAAGCAAAATCTGCTAACCCTAACAAAAATTGAGATTTCTTGCTAAACACCTAGTTCCTCTAATATTCTTTTCCTGGTTTAGTGATTCCTGAGTCTTGAAAGCTCTGTTTGTAGTATAAATGGAAATCAGTAGCTTCAATGATAGAGTTTATATGCATAATGCAGTCTCCTATGGATAAAGGCTTAAATCACTTAACAGAACTTACTTAATATTATTTACTTCTTGACCTCATTAGAAAAGGATGGAAACCATACTATCCTTACAAGCTGCAAACTCTTCGACACTTTGATCGCTGTTTCTGATTGCCGCTCGCATTGACAGTGGCTATACTGAAAAGAAAAGGAAGGGAAACGTGAAACGTGGGGGCTGTGTGTGATATGGTATCGCAGCACAGGACAGCATGAATCTGCATTGTGTGTGATTACCAGACAGTAAATCAGCTGTGCTGTGCTAGAGCCAGAAACCAGTAGCTTTCACACTTGCTGCCTGTTTCCCACTCATTGTAAAGCTCTGCCCTATCACTTGATAGACCTGGAAAGGAAGCGCAGAGGAAGTGAGTGCCACTGCTGGTTCAAAATGTTCCAGGGCGACTGGAAAGTTTGAGCAATGGCCTGGGTGAGAAGAACAAGACCTTATTGACAGGGTTCAATCCTAGTCAAGTCTGTTTCCCATCAACTTCCTAAGTAATCACAACCTTTCTTTTTTTTTCATCTCCTTTGCACCCTCTGGGTCTCCCACTTTCACTTCCTTTTTATTTTATATAGGTATTTATTTTAGTGGACTGAGCAACCAAGGAGAACTGGGAAGGTTTATTCCCTCTGATCCACCCTTGCTAAATCCTGGAGGAATTACTAATGGAAAAAAATGACAACTACATTAAAGGTAGTTGTCATCCCCCGCCTTTCCCCCCATGTTTCTCCAGAGTTTCCATTGCACATTCTTTGAATATCTCCTTTCTATAGGGTCTTGTTCTTTTCATTTGATGTATAGAAGTGCATATGGTTCCAGTGATGCCACAGCACACGTGGTTTTTCATGTTCCAGATCAAGTGGTGTCATGGACTAATGGCTGTTAGGTTATGACACTGTAAAGTTATGTGAAGACACACATATACATGTAGTGGCAGAAATGTGTAAGCTGAGACTTTCTTGGTTTCAAGCTCTTCTAGACTGTGTGAGACTTTATGAAACAATTATACCATAAAGTCACTCAATTTTTTTTCCTAATGCTGCAATTTTAAACCTACAGCAACATGCCCCTTCTACATTGCACTGTTCCATTTTCCATAGAATTATGCATGATTTTGCCATCAGTGTCGTAAGCACTCTCCACTGGCAGTACTGCTGCTCTAGGGCCTCCTACTGTTATCTCAAATTTCTTACTTCAGTATGTTATTCTCCTTAGGCTGTCTATGAGACGAGAAAAGTTTGTTTAATCTGAGGTGAGAGAGGTTTTTTTTCTCTGGAGAAACATGCTTATAAAAAGAGGACCAAAGAGATGTCTGTCTAGTTTTGCACTTAAATGTCTGTGGCCATGATCATGTCAGAGCAGATCCACATAATAGAGTTTAATCATGGAAGCATAGGTGGCAGCTCATGTTTTTGTGGTCTTGCTGTAGCAAGCCGATTGACTCTGGTGGAATACACTCACATATTAAAGGAACAACCAGTTCAAAAAGTCAGTGAAGAGTTGCAGACTCTTTGGGCATGGGTAATATTCACTGAATTGGTTAGTGAGCAGTCTTCTGGAGGGGTAAACTTTTCTGGGTTAGTGATGGTGTGTGCACGTTTATAAGGATAATATGACTTATTGTATTTGGTAATCCTGGCAATAGTGATGCCAGGAAAATCATCTTATTTCAGGAAAACATGCACTAGCATGTGTTTTGAAGTATTTGCTTTTTGGGAGTTAATAATAATTTAAGTTTGACAAGGATTTAAAAGAAAGGGGAAAAAAAAAAAAGAAAAAAAACCCAACAACCCAAACTCTCAACCCTCAATGATATATAAAATGTGAAAATGCCTTGTATTCTGTAGTATAAATATAGGGTGTGCTAGGGATATTTTTGAATTGGTCAGGCAGGCAGAATTATTGCTGCCTGAAGGAGCGCATGTACAAGGGAGACACGAGCGTGACACAGTGCTACAGAGGCACATCGGTTTGCAGAATATGCCAAGCTTGCACCAGTTTTTCTAGAATGTTTTTCCTTCACTATCTCCAAAATAGTTCAAATTCAATAACTGTGGTTAGGGTATTTTGGAAAGATGTCCCCAGGTACTTTATAATGGAACTTGGGAAAAGATTCAAGAGATGGGAGTTCTCAACCAGCATTTGTAAGCAAGTTATCTTAAAATATACTGCTGCTTAATCTAAAATTAACCAAAAAGCATCTTATAGTATTTTTAGGTCAGTGTATAAATCTGGAGAAATCAAAGTATATGCTTGTTACCCGGTCAACTCACTGCAAATTTTTTTTCTCCCCTTTTTTTGAGACCTTAACCAGTCTAAATCTCCCAGGCCCATTCACTGTGTTTCTAATATTTTCCTATATCTTACTCTTCCCAGGATGGATCGTACTTGGCTGAGTTCCTGCTGGAAAAAGGCTACGAGGTGAGTGACTCGGTGACCGGCTGTGGGCTGATGGAGTCGTTTGGATGCTGCAGCTCCAGCTTCCTCTGCTTCTGTCCTTCTCTGTGTATGTTTTCCACTCCAGCCCTAGATAACAAATCAAAACTCCGCAGAGGAATGTGCAACATGGCCTGTAGTCATGCCAGCTTATTGTACTATTTATCATCTAATGTCCACTGGTGGATTCCCTCTTCTCCTCAGGGTAAAGCCGCTTTGCATGTTTCCCGCCAACTCAGATAAGCAGCGACCTGTGTGAGCCAAAACTGTAAGGAATTAGGGAATAATTTATGATGCAATGTACCACATAAAGGAATAAGAATCTCTTGTTTATTCTCTTCCCCTCTCTCTCCACACTAAAGGCTCTTTTGTTTTGGCAGTTATGCTTCAGCAATAAAAACCTTGCATTTTGCTTTCTCTGTTTAAAAAAAAAAAAAAACCAAAAAAAACCCAAAAAAAAACCCCAAACCCAAAAATACACTTTGATAATGTTACTTTCCACCACTTCTCTTGAATTAATTATATTATTGCTTAGCACAGGATTTTCATTTACCTTTTCCTTAGAATAAAGGGAGTCTGATTCCTTACTTCTTGCTGCATAATTTTCCCTGGCAAAATCAGCTTTTTTGTGGCCCAGCAAAGCAACAATCACATTACGATTTGATGATTTTGAACTGTTGGAGCCATGTATGTGAGAATCCTTGCCTTTTCAGTCATGAAAGATGCTTCCAAAATGTATGATAATGGAAGGAAAGGGGTAGTCAAATTAGTCTCCCTGCAATATGGTATTTTCTGTCTTTTTAGTAAAAGCTAATGCTTGTTCTAATATTAGATTTCATTACTTCTGTTTTGATATTGCTTCATAGCTTAGTGAGAAAACTCTTCTCAGCCAGTCTGTGCTTTCCATGCTTTTGCATGTGGTTAATCTTGCCTTGCTTATTCCATTCTTTCTCCTGCTTTTTTGCTTAATTTGCTTATTGGTTTTGGGTTCTCAGTGTTGTATATTGATTATTTGTACTATTTTTCCATTCCATTTGGGGAAGAGAGATATCATTGTGGTTGCATTGTGGCAAAAGCACATGCTCTCTCCTAGTCCACAATGAAATAGGGGAACTGCTAACGGCAACTAAAATGGAATATAACACTTTCCACAATAGAAAGGTTACAATAATTTGGTAAGGGTTTTTTTCCTGTTCCTCAACTCTCCGTTTATTTGTTGGAATTCTTTCCTGTGTTCCCAGTTAGGGACCTCTGTTCCTGAATAACTAAACAGAAGAGTACAGGTGATAACTGATTGCCTCCCTAACTAAGCTGGTTCATTTGACTTTTTTTTTTTTTTTATTTCAATCTGTTTAAATATCAAGCCCTATTGAGAAAAATCCACTGATCTTACATTCTTAACTAGATTAACCAGTTTGCACACATTTTGGCTTGTCACAAAGTTTGCATTTCACCTGTCCTATGCAGACAAAGGTGCCTTTCATCAGTTTTTTTATGGTACTATTGCTGTCATGGATTAAGCATTTGGCAGGTTTTCTTTCTCTTGTATGTGCATACCAGAAAAAGGAGTGGGAGAAAAAAAAAAGCTGGGTTTGCATGTATTCTTGTTATCGCTGGATGCAACAAGCTCTTGGGATTTGTTTGTTTGCTGAAACTTTTTGAAGTCTTGGGGTGATTGCATTTAATACGTCTCATTGGTCAAATGTTGGTATCACAGTCATTCAGCTGACACAAAGCTCTTGCAAGCACAATCTTTCATCAAGCTTTGAGACCTGCTGGCAAGACTTGGCTTATTGGTCAATCGTTTGTGTGAACATGAATTTCAGCATGACTTCATTCAGAGATAGATAATTGAGAACTCAAGAAGTCTCTCATCAGGACTTCAAGCCAAAATATTTAGTTTTGCTGGAAGAGTTGTAGAGCACTTCATTTCGCTTCCTTTAGAATAACTTGATGCTTTAAAACTGCAAAGTCTGATTATTTTTTTTACATTTTTTATTCTCAGCAAAACAGATGTTCATTTGAGTACTCAAAATATTTCCAGCATCTTTTGCAAAATGAAGTTGTGGAAGTGTCTTTTTTTGAAAGTGTTTCTCTGTAAACTTTATGTCCTATAAATTGTACACAAATTCTATAAATAATTATTTTGATAGGGCTTTTAGCTACATAACTTTGAAAATTTATCTTTATAAATTTATTATTTGATGGAAATTTCTTTTTGGGGGCCATGTTTTGAAGTTCTTCATCGATCCTTAAAATGCAAATATTTTAATTGTGGAAAATTTAGCGTTTGAATTGTAGAACAAGGTACATTGTGAGCCTGTAGTGTGGCTGGGCACACAAGTGATTTTATGCAAGAAGATTTGGCATAAATTTGACTTGCGAGTTGTAAAGATGAAGCTATTCAGCTGTTATTAGAGACCCTGACACCAAAATGTCATTTGTAAAGTGGCAAACCGGTCCCACTCTGCCGTTGTGCATATCTTTTTAGTCAGTTAAGTTTCAGACTTAAGATGGAATAAAAAATGTTTTCTGTGTCAATAACCATAGCTTGTGTTATGTGTAAAACAAAAATCCCCAAACAGAACCAAGCTGGAACCCAAAATGCTGCCTGTTCCTGCTGGTATATTCTCGCAGGTACAAGTGAGAGAGGAAAGCAATGGCCCAACCCAACCAAGTGCAGGATGCATCAAGTTGTAAGGGAATCACCTTCAGAAGTAATAACGGGCAGGAAGAAGTGGAGGACAGTCAAAGTTCGATTTCACCTGTGCAAGCACAACTTCTGCAGCTGGTAACCTAAGCTAACATGAATTTTGGCAGCAGGCCTGGGGCTACCTTACATAAGGAGGGAACAGGATCAGCGTTTGAACAATTTCTCTACTGTGTTAGACACAAACAGGCTTTTCTTTAATGTTAGTCAGAACCAGTGGTAGTTTTTTTCACCAACTTATTTATGGTGGCTGGTTAAAGGAAACTCCCAACCTGTGTTTCAGCCTTAGTCTTGCCCCTGAGTCTTGTAACCCACTGGACAACGCTGAGTCATGAGGTCCACAGAATAGCACTGACTGTTCTGGCTGTTCTTCCAAAACCCCAGAAAGTGAATAACAGCTGTTTTCTAAAATATATCTGGGCCTTGCAGCTGCTGCACCTTCTTTCCCCTTGTCTCTTTCTTCCCTTCTCTCCTCTCTGCCTCTTCTCATTTCCCTAGCCCCGTCTCCTGCTGCTGCTTTTTCTGTGCCCATCATCTCTGGCTCCCGAAAGACTCTACAACCAGGGAGAAGTGGTTATCTTGGGATTCACATGTTGCTTCTCCAAGTCCAGTAATGCTGGCAAGTCTCATTCACTAGGCGACGGTGCTCTAGCGCAATTCAACAAATGTGTTTTCTGCACTGTCTCTGATGCTTGGGCTGCCAGTGGTGTCAACAAGGGAGAAGGTGAAACCACTGAAGGGTACTAAAATAAATATGACAGCATTAGAACACATCTCCAAGTATTTTGTTATGATTTGGATAACTGTCTGCCTTTAGGAACAGAGACAATCTATGATTACCTGATACAAGGGTTAGGCCCATGTATATGAAAAGAGCAATGATGGTGATGAACGTTTTCCTCTTAATGTTTACCACTTTCCTTTTGTATTTTCCCTTGTTCAATCCCCAGGTGCACGGCATCGTTCGTCGGTCTAGTTCTTTTAATACAGGCCGGATTGAACATCTCTATAAGAACCCACAGGCTCACATTGAAGGAAGTAAGACTTTGTTTTTATATTCACGGTGGTTTTTTATTTTTTAGTGTGTGTTTGGTGGAAAAGGTCCCCGGGAGGAGGAAGGGAATCCCCGTTTCCTCTACTTAAATGTTATTAAGGAGTAGTTATTTTTAAGCCGTGTTTAACTTAGGATTGGTTATTTAAAACAAAAAACCAAACAAAAAAACCCCCTTGATAGCTAAGTTTTCCTTTTCTCTGTTTGTGTTAGCTAGCTGCTCTATCTCGGGAAGAAAAGTGATGATTTTTTTCTCTGAAAATGTGACACAAAGTATAGATACTCTTATGTGTGTGAGTTACCAAGAGAGGAAATTACGAGAGGGGCCAAGGAGGGCACTTTCTGTTGTGTAGAAATGCAGCCACAGTTCGTACGTGGCTAGGCAGTAGCAATTAGAAAATGGCTGGACCTGCAAAAAGTTAAGTGGCATTGAAAATACTGAGATATCAGAATAGTAAAATGTGGGAGGTTGGGGCAGTTATATTAAGCACTCCACTTCTGTTTCCTCGTGAGCTTCTTAGTGCCTAATGGAGGTGAAGGTTTGGGGACAGCCTGTATGACAGCATGAATAAGACATGATCTTCTTACTGATAACAGGAAGAATGAATCTTTGGACCTTCTGAATTTCTACACCCAAGGAAACGATTACCTGTTTTTCCCGAAAGAAAGGCATTGCTTTTGGAAACTTTCTAACAATTTACTGTATTTTCTGTTAATGATAATAATTTGGAAAGCTGAAATTATTACCTTTAGTGTATACTTTGCAAAAATTGTTTTGAGTATTTTACCTTAAAGAAAGTTAACTGGTCACTTAATGAGAAGAAGATTGACATGTTGGATGGCTCCAGTTCAGCAGAAGGATTGAGCATTTTTAACAAGTATATAGTTCTCTATGCTATCCATATTTTGTAGAGTTGTGCAGACTGACACTGTCCTAAATAGACCGATTTAAGGTATTGTTAACACTAAATATCTCCATGCAGTAAATAAATCTCATGTCTTTTGAGGTCAGCTTCCCACCACGGTTAAATGGGGTCTAATTTTATCAAATTGTAATATATAATGCAACTTCTAGATTTCATCTTTGCTTGTAATTTAAAAAAAATATTTAATTTCTGACATGATTTCAGTGGTATTTGCTGTGAATAGTTGTTACTTACTGTACATTGCTTCTTAAAATGCCTAATTGAGAGGGGGTTAAAATGAATAAAATATCTTCATGAAGAATACTGAAACCTGTGCTTCCGTCAAGGACAACGTGGGAACTGTGTTTCCCATGACTGACATTCATGGCTCACAAGGTAAAATGAAGCAAAAGAAATCAAGCAGGAACCTGTGCATTCATCTTGTGAATATGAAAAGTGATTTGAGAAGACAATGTAGATCGTGATAAATATGTATGTGAACATTTAAGGAAAAGGATGGAAAAAGGAAAAAGAAAGCAGACCTTAAATGTTTTTCCCTACTTCTTATCTCATTTTCCTTTAACTGAGGAATGCAGCCATATGAATGGGAGGAGGAGGAGAAATTGGACTTGGAATCTCAGGAAAGGCTGCTCTATGGAAACTGTTTGGAAACAATGGGTTTCCAGGCAGTACTAGAGGAAGCAAAGAAGCAATAGTGGTTGATGTGTGCAAACCCTAATTTTGTCTTTGCCCTGTGTGTTCTTCCCATGAGGAATTGATTACACATTGCAAGATGATGAACTTCATAGGCAGTGAACCAAAAAAAAAAAAAAAAAAAAAAAAAAAATTAGGGAGAACAAGAAGGAAAACAAGGTGTTTCCTGAAGCGAATCCTCCAGCTATTGCTTGCTAAGGAGATTTTTAGATTGGATAATATTGCTAAAACCCAAAGGTTTTGACATTTGATCTGTGTTTATAAATCTTTGTACCAAATAAACCCCATTTCTAGTCAGTCTTTCCTCTTAGCCTGTTGCTCTTGAAAGATGTTTTTCATGGGTCAGAAAATGAACAAAGCCTCATGCCCTGCTCCGCTTCCAAAGAGCCATTTTGACAAGAAGCTTTGAAGACTTGATGGCAAACAAAAATTGGGGATTCCCCTTTGAGAGCTTTAAATTTAAGGTAATCGTGGTAATCATGGGGTATGTCTGCTCTGTTCAGTGCAGCTGACAGCCCACCACCACCCCTGAGGGCTGCTCTATGGCCTGGGGATGGTGTGGCAGAACTGGGTATCTTTGGTGTCGGAAGAGGGAGCCTGGCTGTGGCACCTCTTTCCTACTCAGTTGCTACTTAGGCTGGAGAGAAACCAGTTGCTCTTTCAGACCCCAGACCTCCTGCAGAGCTGCTGCTGCTCCCTGGGCTTCCTCTTGTAATGGTGTCCTCTGCTCCATCCTCTCTGAAAGGCTGGCTCAGCTGGCAGGGAGATCTCATTTAACTCCCAACCAAGGTAAACAGAGGAAGAAGAGGACCCCTGTTGCCTCAGGAGAGCTTTTTCTTCTGGGACAGAGAGGGTAGTAGTGCCTTTGGGTTCTTCCCTGCTCCCACCAGCCTGAGTTGTCCAGAAAAAAGTGGTAACTGCTATCAGAGAAGTTGGTTAGGTGGTGGTTGCTCTTGATCTCTATTTAGTGTTGCAAGAAAAATGCAGCAGTTTTTAAGGTGGTCTGGACACCAACAGTTTTGAGGATTGCAGGTTAACGGCAATATTCAAATAGTTTTATCCTATAACCATTTTGGATCTTGTGCATGCTGTGGCCCTCAGGCAGAACGGGTTTCATGTATTGAATTCCCTTGGGAGAGCAGGACAGTTGTATTCCATACAAGTGGAAACATGGTATTGTTCCATCAGCACCTGTATAGAACTGGTGGCAGGAATGAAGGCAGCCCACACCATGGATAATTGATGTGTATGCACAAAAAGGGTCATAACCCTCATATTTAATCACAGTTATCTCTTTCTGTAAAAAAGAAAAAAAAAAAAAGGTTGCATTACCGTTCCATTACCTGTTAGCCACAGCTTCAGCTGGGTCTTGAAGTCTCTTCAGAACTGTTCTTTTCAAGCAATGTGGATGTAAAAGCAGATTTCAAGAATATACTGTGGCCTGCTGGGCTGCATCACTTTATCAACCTGAAGAGCCTTGAGTACCTGTTAAATAGGAATGTGCAAAGCTGAACACCTGAGAACTGCATAATCTGTTGCTTCCTTGCTGCCCTAAACTGTTTAAAAATCAGTAACTCCCCAAAACAGTTTAAATAAAAACAAAGTTCACATATCTCTACAGCGTTTAAAAAAAAAAAAAAAAGTACTGTGGACTCATATGGTAGTCTCTTGTAATAAACCTTGTATTTCTTGGTTTCGGGATTGAAAAAAAAAAAAAGGGAAAAAAAAAAAATCAAGTTGATATCTGTAGATGGTACAGCTCCCCAAAAGTGGTGACCGTTATCAAATGGGAAGACCGCTAAACTGTACTGAAATAGGAATTTCTTCTTTTTCCTGGAGATAGTGCAATGTAAACATAAATTTATTAAGGTCAAAAACATCAAAAGCAAATCTATATAAATATGGCAAGTAAATGTAAACAGCTAATTCATCAATAGTTATAGCAAGATTTTCCTTTTTGTTGAATAGATATGTGAATGGCAGTGTGGTGCTGTGATTTTATTTTATTTTTTAGATAAGAGGAAAATGAGGCCTGTTTTTATCAGAATGGATTTCACTTCTGGAATAATTTCTTGACAGATTAGGATCATTGCATAGGTCATTGCAGCCTGCTCTTAATTTTGATGGAAGCTGGTCTCATGGTATTATCTACTTTTTCACACGCAAATGAGAAAGTAACTCAGTTGGGAAAGGACAAATAACAGCTGTGTGACTGACATGTCTGACCACATGTGAGATTTTGGTGTGTAATATCATGAAGCATGTTTCATTGACAGTTACAGTGTTCTCTGAAATTCCTTTCCGGTGTGTATTTATATTTTTAAATGGAAAAACAATAGTCATAAATGCAATGGGCTGTGCTGTAATGTTACCTAAATATTCGTCTTGTAGGTACCTTAGGCATTTTTGTTGTGTTGTGAAATTATTCACAATGAGGAACTTAAAAATGTGCATCATTTTGGGAAGGAGGAGAAAGCTCTTGATGTGTACTTAAGAAGTTATTAAAAACCTTTGTGAGTAAAAGACTGGAAGCCTAAACTGAAATAATGCGCTTTTTTGTGGCTGAAATTCTGTATATGACATTTATCTAATTTATACAACCTGGGTTAATGAAGTGTAAAGTATTAAACAAATTATATAAATGTTGCTAGGTAAATCA